TTGACATTAAAAAGTCTTAAAGGTCTTAAATTTAGTTTAATTTGACATTAAAAAGTCTTACAGGTCTTAAATTTAACTTGCGTTGTTAACCTGTAGGAACCCTGGTTTTGGTTGGTTGCAGGCGGACCCACCTGGACCATGTCCCTGCTCACACACCTGCTGGCCTGCCTCTTCGGGATGGGCTCCTGGGTGTCCATCAACGGTTTGTGGGTGGAGCTTCCTCTCATCGTCCCCCAGGTGCCAGAGGGGTGGTACCTGCCATCCTACCTGTCCGTCCTGATCCAGATGGCCAACGTCGGGCCTCTCTTCGTCACCCTGATGCACCGGTTCCGGCCGGGCTCCCTGAACGAGACGGCGGTGGTCTACCTGATCATCGGCCTGGGGACGGTGGCCAGCTTCCTGCTGGGGTTCTTCTGGAAGGACGTGGTYCTGGTGGGCGGGGTCCCCCGCAGCGTGGCCCTCCTGGTTCTGACCTTCTTCCTGGCCGTGGTGGACTGCACCTCCTCCGTCACCTTCCTGCCCTTCATGATGCGCCTCAGGCCTCAGTTCCTGACCACCTACTTCATCGGGGAGGGGCTGAGCGGCCTGCTGCCGGCCCTGGTGGCTCTGATCCAGGGGGTCGGGGTGGTCCACTGCGTCAACGACACACAGCCCCCGAACCGGACCTCCAACGGTTCTGGTCCAGACGAGCTGCAGGCTCAGTACCAGCCTGCCAACTTCTCCTCCGAGGTCTTCTTCTTCTTCCTCAGCGCCATGATGCTGGTGAGCCTGGTGGCCTTCCTGCTGCTCAACTACCACCCAGCTGTGGCCAGGGACCGGACCCCCAACCGCTACGCCACCGGAGCCAAGGAGAACCGCCAGAACCGGGCCGGAGGGGCCGAGCAGAGGCCCATGATGGACCCCTTCAGACCCCCGACCCACAAACGCAGGAGCAGCTTTGGTAGCGGGGCCTACAGCTGGACCCAGGTGGTCTACATCTTCGTGGTCCTGGGCTGGGTGAACGCTCTGACCAACACGGTCCTGCCCTCGGTCCAGTCCTACTCCTGCCTGCCGTACGGCAACAAGGCCTACCACCTGTCTGCCGTCATGGCCGCCGTGTCCAACCCGCTGGCCTGCTTCATCGCCCTCTTCGTCTCCGTCAGGTCAGCTTTTTGTCAGGTCCAGACTGTGGGCTGAGCTGTGKRCCAGCAGGAAGTGAGTCTGAACTGTTCACACTGAATCTGAATGTGCAGAAYTTGAAATTGACACTATGTAACAAAAACTAAATGTAACATTTTCTACATACAGGTCAAATTAATCACTGCAGTAAAATAACTTTGTGTGTTTTTGTC